GCCGCTGCCGTCGCTGGCCCCGAGCACCCAGCCCGCTGCAGGAGCTGAGCGCACCGTCATCGGTGCTCAGTGGCACACCACCAGAGGCACCCAGCCGCAAGGCCAGTGTCCACAAGCACGTGGTCTTTCTGGAGCCCGGCAGGATGGGTCTGAACGGGCGTGTGCAGCTGGCGGTAGCTGAGGATTTCGATCTCTGCAATCCAGTGGGCCTTCGGCTCAAGGCTGGCTCTGAGTCTGCTAGCTCCACAGGCTCTGAGGGTCTCATGTTGACCTAGGCTGCCCAAGACCTCTGGCCAGGCCACCACCTGCCTGCTGCTTGCCCTGCTCCCTGCTGCAGTCCAGAGAAGTGCCAGATGCTGTGGGGAAGCACTGTGCCTCGTCCCCCAGCCTCCCATGTGGGCCTTGACTTGAGCCACGCTGGCCCTCCTCACTCTGGTGGAGGTGTTGGGGCCCCTATCTTGCCTCCTGCTCTGTCCCAGCACAGATCCCAAAGGCCCCAGGGCCTGCTATAGTGCCTGTTTTCCCTGGGACCTCCTCGCACCCAAATGCCTGTGAAGACTGGGGACGGGGGCCCACCGAACAGCCCTTGCATCAGCGCCTCCCTCCACCCTCAGGGACTGTCAAGGAATGATCCTGAAGAGTTGAAGCATGACTACTTCCCCTTGCAAAGGGGCTGGGGAGGAAGTGGGCCCACGGGGGAAAAAGGGTCTCTGGAGGGAGATCTCGCCCTCACCCTCAGGTTAGGAGGAGGAAACATGCCCTCCAATCTGGTGAAATGGGACTCCATCCATCCACCAACACCCAAATTACTGAAAGCTTCACATCTTCATGCAGTCTGGTAGGCAGGCGTGGCCTAAGTGGCCCCACTCTCTCCGGCCAGGGGCATTTAGCTGCCATTCCAAAGGCAGAACTCATTCTGTGGGCTTGCAACACAGAAGTGAAGGGGATCAGGACCTGCACACCCACTTTTCAGCAGTAAAAAGCCCAGTGAGCATGGCTAAGCTGGGAGGGCCTAGCAGGAACTCCATGTCCCTTGAGGGTGGGAGCCTCTTAAGGGCTGGCACTGGTCTCCGCCTAATGGCTTAGGCAGTGCCCTGGCTTCACGTGCATTTCACGACTCTCACTGCAGGGAGCCAAGGAAGAAGGGTCTGAGAGCCACTCGTGTAGGGCTGAGCTGGGGACCCCATGGGTGTCCTGGACCCAGCTGGTAAGGAGAGTCTTAATAAAGGTAGTACACGCTCACTGCTGGAGCCTTTGCAGACCAAGATAGTGTTGTGTGTGCTCAGCTCTCGACCCAGCAATGTGGCCTTGCTCATAGGATGACACACCCTCCAGAGTCCTGGCTCCCATGTCCTGCCTGAGGCATGGCCACAAGCCAGAGGCTCTGACTGTGGGCTGGGACACCTTGTCCTGCTGGGGTCCCCAATTCTGCTGTTGCCACCTATTTAAGCAGTCCACACCTCGCCACCTTCCCTCCGCTTCAAAACCTGATACTGGGGTCCATTTTTGAGATGAGGAAACTGAGTTATGAGAGACTGCCCAGCCTCTCCTCATCAGAAATACCCATCTCCCACGGGGGCCCACAGTCCCCAACACTCACTCTGAGGTTGGGCCATGCACCAGAAGCCGCACCAGGATGCCTGTCACTGCCACCAGTATAGGGTAGTGGTCCACGCTCTCTAGGCCTAAGGGGAAGGGAAGAAAGGAGATGAACCACCCACGTGCTCCCACTGCGGGGGCTGCCAGGCCTGGCTGTCATCCGCCCTTCCCACTGTCCTCCCTATAGAAGGGTAAACTGAGGCTGGAGGGCACCAAGCCTGGGTATCCTGGGCTAGAATCAGGCATCACAGCTCCTGGTAGAGGAATCAGGGCCTGTGGTATGTTGGGATCCAGGGCATCTAAGTTCTTACCAGGCAGCCGTAGGGTGACCACACGGTCAAACAGGTTCCGCTCAGCTGTCACTCGGTTCAGCACCTGGTTCAGCAGCTGTGGGTGTCAGGAGGGAGGGCAGGAATCCATTGGTGGATGGGCAGGGTCACAACTGGGGCATCCCCAGAGGGCAGTCTTGCTCAGACGGACACACCTGTGCAAGACGTCGCAGCAGCATCTCAGAGGTAGGCCGGGTCCAGTCAAGGAATATTTCAGGCACCAGCGTGATGGTCATCTCCAAGACGCGCAGCAGGCTGACTGAGAGGTCAAAGCAGGTGGCACATACCTTGAGCTGCCGGCTATCCACAAAGTTTCGCTCCAGGCGTTCAGCAGCCTGCTGAATCTGAGCCACGAACATGGCAAGCAGCAGTCAGTGGCCTGACAATACCCTGGGAACATGCCTTGTCCTCTGTACCACCCTGACCCACAGGGCCCCACCGCAGCCCACCTCCTGGATCATGCCGATGAATTCAGAGAAGGCCCAGTTGAGCTGGTTGAGGACGCTGTTGAGGAAGCTGGGCGCCACATCAGGGCCCTGCCGTAGCAGGTCCGCCATGTGCTGCTGCAGCAGGGTGGAGGGGCAGGGCTCTGCAGGAGCATGTGGAAGCGGCATCACCAGGGACTCCAATGCAGTGACCTCGGCCTGTGTGCCTGTCCTCACTCATTGGGCCATTAGGGTAAGGATAGAAAGACGGCTCCCTGGGAATGCTCAGCTCATGAAGGCAGCGGGGAACAGAGTGCTGCTGCCTAGGAGTTGGAGCTAAATCTGCCCCCTCCTGCTGAGCAAGCTACAGGCTGCAGTTGTTTGTAGCTCCCATACACCACCCCCCTAGGCCTAGAACAGCCACACAGCTGAGCCTGACCCCCAGTTCTGAGTTGCACATCCTTCAGATGGAGTCACACCTAGATGGGGTGATTCAGACTCTTCCCATTGGTATCAAGGCCAGCTTTTCCAAGGGCCAGCTTTGAGCACTGCTGCAAGCCCTGCTGTCCTCTGCTGTCCTTGGCCTGGCCTTGGCATATGGCTGAGGTGGTGGACATCAAGTCTGGGCTGGCAGCCAGCAGTAACCAGAGCCCTTAGCTGCAGCTGGCCCCCAGCATACCTCCCACCCCCTTGATGCAAATCAATAGTTCCTGCAGCAGCAGGACACGTATCAGCCCCACTGCCACTCTCCATTTGCAGCTCAGTTCCGTCCTCGAGGGAGGCCCAACTGGCAAGGACTTGTATGTGAAAAGGCACTTGCCTCTCTGAGGACACCTCTCAAGCCAAAATACCGCCCACAAGGGCAGAGACACACTACACAAGTCAAGAAGAGTCAGTACAGTGGGTGGCAGGAACTCTGCAAGCTACATATCCCAAGACCTTGGGCCAGGCCTAGGGGAAGGTCCTCAGGCACAAAAGACTTTACCCTGGAGAGTGAACACAGCCTCTGCTCCCAACTAAATGGCCCTTACTCCAGGGGAATCCATGAACACCCACTGGGGACCTGGACCCCTCCAGTCTGTGTTCCTACTTGACTTAGGTATCAAAGGTCTGAGCCCAGCGCTGAGTCTTAGCAAAGAAGGAGTAGAAGAACATGGTGCTGGGACAAGGCTGGAGGTCAGGGAGCCAGATTAGAGGACAAGGGATAATATTTAGTCTGTATGAGCTGCCGGCAGGCTGGGAAGATGCTGTCCCTTTTCATTGTGACCCATGATGAGTGTTGAGGTCCAAAGGGCACACGAGAGACTGTAGGGCAAAGGCGAATAGTCCCAGAGTGTCCTTGGGCTGGGAGGAAGCAGGAAGATGGAAACTCCAGGCAACAGGCAGGGAATTCGGGGCCCAACTCAAGTACAGGAACGGGGTTGGAAGAGGGGAAGAGTCTGAAGGAATCCAAGTGTAGTGAGTAAGGGTCACCAGCCTGCCCTGCCCAGGATGCTGCTAGGACCTGCCCAACCTGGATACTCACTCTGGAGGCTGGGTAAATTGGCATCTTCAGGTTTGGTTTTCAGCAGATGTGGCAGCCGTGTATAGCGGTACCCGAACCCACAGCCCTGAGGGTGGAGTCAGTGGGGAATCAGTGGGACAGGGTAACCTCTCCTCTAGCCAGCCTCAGCCTTTTCCCTCATGTCAGGCTTACTCTCCAGAGCCGCACCAGGATCCAGTTGGTCTGGGCCCAGGGTCGCTGCTCATAGGGTGCCAAGAGGTTCCTCACCATGGCGATACGTCTGTGAGGGCAAGCAGTAGCAGACACAGGGTTGGGCTGGGCATGGTGCTCGGCAGGGCAGGATGTATGGCTGCCCCCAGGCCTGTACTCACTGCTCCTCAGGGATTCGCTCCACAGCTCGCAGGGAGTGTGGGTAGCACACATAGCTAGCCAGGGCCTGCATCAGCGAGTCTCGGATGTCTACGGAGACAAGCCATGCCTTAGCAGAGGCTTGGCATGAGCCTTGGCCCCATGCCTTATACCCACCTGTCTTTTTTTTTTTTAGTTGGAATCTCATTCTGCTGCCCAGGCTGGAGCGCAGTAGCATGATCACTGCTCATTACAGCCTCAGCCTTCTGGACTCAGGTAATCCCTTCTGCCTCAGCCTCCCAAGTAGCAGGGTCTACAGGCATGTGCCACTGCATCCGGCTAATTTTTTAATTCTGTAGGGACTAGGTCTCGCTATGTTGTCCAGGCTGGTCTCAAATTCCTGGGCTTAAGTGGTCCTCTAGTCTCAGCTTCCCAAAGTGTGGGGGCTATAGGAGTGAGCCACCGTGCCTGGCCCTGTCTGCATTTTGTGTAGCAAACAGCCCGCTAGAAGTGCCATCTCATCCCGATCCCCTTTGGCCCTCTAAAGGGCACCTCACCAGTGCCCACGATGCGTGTGTCAGCAAAGTGTTTGGCAAGGATGGCGGCTAGGCGGGTCAAGGTCTCTTCGTAGCCTGTAAGAATGGGAGGTAAGACTTGTTGGCCTGGCCAGTAGTAGGGGCTCCAGACACAGACACATGCCTTGGCAGGGTGGGTGGGCTTGGGTAGCTGGCTCCAAGTTCCATCTGGACTCAGAATGGCAGCTGGGGACATCGGGCAAGGTATTCACTGGCCTTTTGGAAGGGCTAAGGCACAGGCTCACTGTGGGAGTAAGGCAGGTCCTGAAAAGACCCTTGACCTGGGCTCAAACCCATCTCAGGATACACACTTGATGAGCAGTCAAAGTTCCTTGGATACCCACAGCTCTGTCTTTAAAGACAAAGCCTGTACTGAGGGTAGGGCAGGGGGTGGGTCAGGGGCTGAAAGTTCACAGCTTGACCCAGACAGTGGGCTGTGAGAAGCCCAGTCTCCTCTGTGGTCCCCAGTAGGGCCCCATCCCTTGCTGTGACTTA